AATATTACTTGTGTGCATATACATATGTGCGATTAAATGGTTTTTTTTTTAAATATAAAGACGTTTTCCTGCCCAAAATTACCCTCGTAGATAAATATTCCTTATCAGCTTAATAACAGTATATCTACAGCAATATGTTGAAGTAAGATATGTCGACATAGCCTAAATTTAGCGTTATGATATGACTTAAAAATCTTCTCACAACCCTTTTGTCATTAGTCATAAATTACAACCGCCGCCTCTAAGTTGTTTTTTGAGGTAAACAACCAAGAAGTGTAGCGACATTCAATTAGTGCTTTGTCACGGAAAACGACGTATGCTATTTTAACAAATTGCTTAATATTTTCTGGAAAATTTTTTTTCAGTCATTAATTTAAATATTTCAGTAATTTTATTTTTTAGACTCAAGCATGGTATATTAATTGTAAAATTTGCTGAAATTGAATTCCAAAGCATCCAAAAATTATTATTTTTTTAAATAATTTACTGCAAGAGAAAAATCATTAATCATTATTTATCGCTACTTCGTCGGTATTAGAAATCAAGTTTCTGAGATTTTAAACATTTAAATTAATAATTAAACTTTTTTGATTGTGTTAAATACAAAAACTTCATTTTCTATATTATTATTATTTTTTTTAATTTCATGTTATTATTTCACAGTTTTGAGAACAATAAGAATTTTTTCAGTTATCTAATGAATTTTTTTAATTAATGATTCAAATTATTATTTTTTTTAATGGCTTAATAGTACCTAAACGCCAACTTACGTCCATATAAGACATTTTTAGCTGCCTTAACGCTCTTACTTTTCTTCATCGTTAAATATTTACGAGATTATTGTTTACATAATTAAATGAATTAGCTTAGTTGAATTGAAAGAAATTTAAACAATGATTTTAATTTTACAAAATATTACATTTATGTATGTATAAATATATACACTAATAAATATTGTTCAAACTTCAATTTGCAGTAAATGAAAAAGACACTTAGAATTAAAAGAAAGATAAGAAAAACAATAAACAGTAAATAAAAAAACAATTTAAAATTAAAAATAAATTAGAATAAGTTAATCGCCATTGTTAATATTCGTTAGTACCTAAGGAAGTAATAGTTTCATTTAAGCTCTATAAGTATTTTGAAAATGGTATGCAGAGCTTAAAAGAAAATCTAGCAAAAGCACGTTAAAAGTATAGAAAATGTCATGCAAGAAGAAGGTTTTATAACGAAACCAATAAATGTATAAGTAAGAAAGTGTGGCAATTTACCTTTTTCTTTAATATTTTTCAAAAATATAATATATTTGTAAAGATGATTCAATTCAACGGCTTATTGGCCAAAAAAACTTCACTTGTATTTGTTATTATTATTATTTTTTTTTTTAGCTTGATATAAGTTTTCTTTGATATAATTTTTAATTTTTCTGCTTACATTTTTTCTTTTTTTAATTAAAAGATAGATTCTAGTAATTCCGCAGAAAATTTAGGCGGACTT